ACACATCATTCATCTACTCTTGGTCGGCCCCCGGGTCCAATATATGAAACCCATTGCGGCCCTCAAGTCAAAAAGTTTGCCCACCCCTGGTATAGAATGATGGGTACAGCGCAATTGTCCAGTTCTGGGAGGGAGTCATATATGACGTCTCCAGTGGTGCGCACCTGGTGATCTCCATGATTGCTGTGTCCTACGGACACAGCTGATCACGTGATGAGGTAAAAGGCCAATCACAGTGGCCTTTTACCACGTGATGATCTGTGTCCAATGACACAGCAGATCACGGAGTAAATACAGTTGCTGGTTATTGGCAGCATTTTCCTCACGCTGTCACAGCGTGAGGAAAGTATTGCCGATAACCGGCAACTGTCACAGCAGATCGGCACTGATGGTCAGTGCCGCCTATCAGTGACAAATCATTGCTGCATATCAGTGCAGCATCACCAGTGCCTCCTCATCATTGCCCACCAGTGCCGCCTCATCAGTGTTGCCTATCAGTGCAGCCTCATCAACGCACATCAGTGAAGGAGAAAAATTACCTGTTTGCAAAATTTTTTTATATAATAGAAACAAAGAAAAACTTTTTTTTTTTTTTTCAAATTTTTTGCTCTTTGTTTTTGTTTATAGCGCAAAAAATAAAACACACGGGCGATTAAATACCACCAAAAGCAAGCTCTATTTGTGTGATAAAAATCTCATATGGGTACAGTGTTGCATGACCACGCAATTGTCATTCAAAGTGCGACAACACTGAAAGCCGAAAATTGGCCTGGGCAATGTAGGGGGTAAAAGTGCTCAGTAGGCAAATGGTTAAAGGCGCTATATAAAATAAAGTTTATTAATATTACTATAAACATATTCAGTCTTGGCATTTAAGAACAAGGGTCTTCAAACTTTCTAAGCAAAGGGCCATTTTACTGTCCTTCAGTCTTTAGGGGAGATTTTGGCCAGTAGGAGTAAAAAAATGCTTGTGTCAGTGGGAGTAAACAATGCCTCAGCTTGGTGGATAGTTGCAGTAAAAATAGTTACATGGCTCCTATGCTGAATAGGAGGAGGAATAATGCCCCATAATGGGTGTCATTAGAAGGAATAATGCCCCATCGTTGGTGTCAGTGGAAGGAATAGTGCCCATCATCATTGTATTAGTGGGAGGAATAGTGCTCTACCATTAGTTTCAGTGGGAGGCATAGTGCTGTACCATTAGTTTCAGTGGGAAGAGTAATGTCCCATTGCTGGTATCTGTGTATCATCATTGGTGTCAGTGGGAGGAATTATGCCTCATTTGGTGTGAAAGGAATGGTGCCTCATCTTGTCAGTGGGAGAAGTAGTGCTCCAAAAGCTGGTGAAAGGGAAGCAAAGGTCCATATCCGGCCCACGGGCCATAGTTTTGAGATCACTTGTTTAGAACATTAACCACTTCTATACTGGGCACTTTTACCCCCTTCCTGCCCAGGCCATTTTTCAGGTTTCAGCGCTCTCACATTTTGAATGACAATTGCGCTGTCATACAACATTGTACCCAAACTAAAATTTTATTGTTTTCTTCACACAACTAGAGCTTTCTTTTGGTGGTATTTAATCACCACTGGGATTTTTATTTTTTGCTAAATTAATAAAAAAAGACCGAGAATTTTGAAAAAAAACAACACATTTTTCTTTGTTTCTGTTATAAAAGTTTGCAAATAAATAATTGTTCTTCATAAATTTAGGCCGAGATGTATTCTGCTACATTTGTTTGGTGAAAATAACCCAAATTAGGATATACAGTCAGGTCCATAAATATTGGGACATCGACACAATTCTAACATTTTGGCTCTATACACCACCACAATGGATTTAAAATGAAACAAACAAGATGTGCTTTAACTGCAGACTGCCAGCTTTAATTTGAGGGTATTTACATCCAACTCAGGTGAACGGTGTAGGAATTACAACAGTTTGCATATGTGCCTCCCACTTGTTAAGGGACCAAAAGTAATGGGACAATTGGCTTCTCAGCTGTTCCATGGCCAGGTGTGTGTTATTCCATCATTATCCCAATTACAATGAGCATATAAAAGGTCCAGAGTTAATTTCAAGTGTGCTATTTGCATTTGGAATCTGTTGCTGTCAACTCTCAAGATAAGATCCAAAGAGCTGTCACTATCAGTGAAGCAAGCCATCATTGGGCTGAAAAAACAAAACAAACCCATCAGAGAGATATAGCAAAAACATTAGGCGTGGCGAAAACAACTGTTTGGAACATTCTTAAAAAGAAGGAACGCACTGGTGAGCTCAGCAACACCAAAAGACCAGGAAGACCACGGAAAACAACTGTGGTGGATGACCGAAGAATTCTTTCCCTGGTGAAGAAAACACCCTTCACAACAGTTGGCCAGATCAAGAACACTCTCCAGGAGGTAGGTGTATGTGTGTCAAAGTCAACAATCAAGAGAAGACTTCACCAGAGTGAATACAGAGGGTTCACCACAAGATGTAAACCATTGGTGAGCCTCAAAAACAGGAAGGCCAGATTAGAGTTTGCCAAACGACATCTAAAATACCTTCACAGTTCTGGAACAACATCCTATGGACAGATGAGACCAAGATCAACTTGTACCAGAGTGATGGGAAGAGAAGAGTATGGAGAAGGAAAGGAACTGCTCATGATCCTAAGCATACCACCTCATCAGTGAAGCATGGTGGTGGTAGTGTCATGGCGTGGGCATGTATGGCTGCCAATGGAACTGGTTCTCTTGTATTTATTGATGATGTGACTGCTGACAAAAGCAGCAGGATGAATTCTGAAGTGTTTCGGGCAATATTATCTGCTCATATTCAGCCAAATGCTTCAGAACTCATTGGACGCCGCTTCACAGTGCAGATGGACAATGACCCAAAGCATACTGCAAAAGCAACCAAAGAGTTTTTTAAGGGAAAGAAATGGAATGTTATGCAATGGCCAAGTCAATCACCTGACCTGAATCCGATTGAGCATGCATTTCACTTGCTGAAGACAAAACTGAAGGGAAAATGCCCCAAGAACAAGCAGTAGAGGCCTGGCAGAGCATCACCAGGGATGAAACCCAGCATCTGGTGATGTCTATGCGTTCCAGACTTCAGGCTGTAATTGACTGCAAAGGATTTGCAACCAAGTATTAAAAAGTGAAAGTTTGATTTATGATTATTATTCTGTCCCATTACTTTTGGTCCCTTAACAAGTGGGAGGCACATATGCAAACTGTTGTAATTCCTACACCGTTCACCTGATTTGGATGTAAATACCCTCAAATTAAAGCTGACAGTCTGCAGTTAAAGCACATCTTGTTCATTTCATTTCATATTCATTGTGGTGGTGTATAGAGCCAAAAATGTTAGAATTGTGTCGATGTCCCAATATTTATGGACCTGATTGTATTATTTAGTTTGTAGGAAAGTTATAGAGTTCACAAACTATGGTATAGATCTGAATATTGATCAATCCTGAAGTACTGACGGCCAATCTAATTTCTTGAGGTCCAAGAATGTGAGAACAGTACAGATATCCCCCAAATGACCCCTTTTTGAAAAGTAGACAGTCCGACGTACTTCATAAGAGGCATAGCGAGTTTTTTGAAGTTGTATTTTTTTTTGTCATAATTTTTCGGAAAATTAAAAAAATTAATTTCACTATTTTTTTTTTTTTACATACTGTCACCAGTGCAGTACAGCATCATCATATAACTGGCATGGCGGTGATCAGGGACACTGACTGGTGACAGTATGAAAATATATATATTTTTTTTATTATTACATTTTTTTTCTTTTTTTTAAGATTGTTTTTCATATTTCACTACGACCAAAGTAGTACAATGTGATCAGTATTTTTTTTTTTTTTACACAATTTGCTTATAGCAAAGAATTACTTTGCTATAAGCAAGCATTTACCTGAATGACATCGATTCATTCAGGGTTTTGGTTTTTTGTGCTTAGCTGTGATTTGGCCAAAGCTAATCACATGACATGTGCATGTGACCTCTGTGACCATTCACAGCTAGACACTAGTATACAATGGATGGCATGAATGAAGCCATCCATTGTATACAACTGTCACGTGACCTGCTGTGATTGGTCACAGCAGGCCACATGGTACCAACAACGGGAGTTGGTACTCAGATCTGTCTTCATCCGTGTCCGAGGTACACGGCTAGGGACAGACCGCACCGCTGCATGGCTCTGCAAGTGCGCAAACTGCAAACTGCACATGCCCAGGAGTACGCCATATGGCATCCACCCGCAAATCTAAAGCATTTTTCCGGCCGCCAAACGGCTATTGGCCGGGCGGCTAATGGTTAAAACAAAACCAGAAATACAGGTAATTTGTTATCTACACAAGGTATACTACAATTATATAGTTTGTACAGGATACTGTCATTCAAACAGATAAAACTGTAATCACAATATCCGTCATTACAATGCCGGCAAAACCTGGAAAATCAATAGTTACCATGTTTCCACCATGTTTCCAAAGCCAAAAAGTTTTATTTTGAATAGAGAAGGGAATAAGGGTTAAAGTGGTTATAAAGGTTTAAGGTTTTTTACCTTAATGCATTCTCTGCATTAAGATGAAAAACTTTTTACAGTGCAGCCCCCTAAATACTTACCTGAGCCTGATATTGATGCAGTGTTGTGCCCGAGAGCAGCAGAACTGCTCTCTCTCTCTCTCTCCTCACTGGACTCGGTGAGAGCAGCTGGAAACATTTGCTCTCACTGCTATCAAATCCAGTGACAAAGGAGAAGGACCAGGGTCAAACCGCAATGTGTGTCAATAGATGAACATAGGGTGGTTCAAGATCGAGCCTGCGCAAGTGCCCCCATAGCAAGCTGCTTGCTATGGCGGCATTCGAAAGGCAGGAGGAGCTAGGAGTGCTGGCAGGTGACCCCAGAAGAGGAGGATTGGGGCAACTCTGTGCAAAACCACTGCACAGAGCAGGTAAGCATAGCATGTTTATTGTTTAACCACTTCATGTCCAGACACTTTTATCCCCTTCCTGTCCAGGCCAATTTTCCACTTTCAGTGCTGTCACACTTTGAATGACAATTGCGCAGTCATGCAACACTGTACCCATATGAATTTTTTAGCATTATTTTGAGACAGATAAAACTTTATTTTGGTTGTATTTATTCACCACTGGGATTTTTATTTTTTTTTTGCTATATAAATGAAAAAGTCCAAAAATTTTGAATAGTGTTTTTCTCATAACATTTTGCAAATAAATCTTTCTTCATAAATCTTGGCCAAAATGTATTCAGTTATCTTTTTAGTAAAAACAAATAACCCAAATTAGTTTATAACCAAAAATTATAATTTTCAAAACTTTTTTTTTATAATATTATTTACGTTTTTTTTAACATACTGTCACCCTAGCAGTACAGTGTCGCCATAATGACACTGTACTACTTGTAGGGGGGTGATGAAGATTTTTTTTTACACTGATTGCTTTTACACCCATAAAGGCTGTAAAAGCAATTATTTCTCCTTCTCTCTGGCTACATTCTTGCAGCCATTGAGAAATACTGTGTGAGCTGTGATTGGTCACAGCTTGTCACATGATACCAGGCTGTTGTGAAAAGCCTTGTACCATGTGACCTCTGTGATCATTCACAGATTTCACACGTAGTAAGCAATGATGTCAGAAGTGACATCTTGCTTACTACTCTTCATGTGATCACCGATTGGCCAATCGGTGATCACATGATCGGGACCATACAGCGATCGGTGTTCCGCTGTGTCCGGAGGAGCGCGCACAATCCAAAATGGCGGGCGCCGTTTATTAATTGACAACCCGCCCCTGCACTGCCACCGTCCGGCCATTTATATACAGCGGCCGTAAGGGAAATGGTTAAAAAAAAATGAACCTTTACTATCACTTTAACCATTTTTGAAATATTTGCTCACTTGTCAATAGGAATTTCACTAAATCCTTATGATTATATTGCACATGTTTAACTTGTATATAATTGATGTGAAAGTGTGTTTTGTTTTGTTTTTCTGTCATGGGATGATTTTCCTTTAATTCTTGTTTTGGAGACACAAAAAAGATAGGGGAGAGAATCTCTTTAAAGTGAGGGAAAATTCTGTTTTAACCAGTTGTCACCAAAAACCATGTGTCCCCATTGGAACATCTCTACTCTATTACTGGTCAGATGACAACTGTAATTTTTTTTTTACTTCCTATCACCCTTATTTCTGGTGACAGTGGTGATCGAGGAAAATAAAGGGTAAATTTCCCTAGATGGGAAACCAAAACTACAAAAACAAAGTTGAAATAATAAGCTGACCATTAATATTTTTAAAACTAGTGTTCCAGTACATAAAAAGCTCAACATTTTAATCTATATTTTCCTATTTATAAGGACACCAAAGTTGCGTTTCTGGTACAAAGCATGGTTAAGTTATTTACAAAAGAAATAAAGGTCCTTTTTTCATTTTTAAGCATTTTTTTAATGTGATTGAAAAAAATTAACTGTTTTAAATATATATAGTAAAAATACGCAATCAGCTTAAAATACAGTATTACTAGGCAAGAAGGGGAGCAATGAGTTAATCAGAGGTGATTAAAGTGTTAAATAGGGACCATCTGTATTTTGTTTTTGACTTGTAAGGTTGCTTTAACTTACAGCTTCTATATTTTTACCCTAATACATCCCTGCGCTGAGAAAAATGTGTTGGCTTCCATCGCTGATCACCTTGCTAAAATGCTTTTTGCCTAACTTCCAAGGCCTTACTGCTCTCTATATAATTAACCCAGAACATGCATATAGCCATCAAAGTCAAGTAAGAACTACTGATCACTGTACCTGTTCAGGATTAGTGACTCGGATAAAACCGAAGGCAGTGGATCAGTTTAAAAGCCAGGAGACTCACGTTTTTAGGAGTCATCAGCAGTAGCAGCCTGTTTCTCTCAGTGTAGGTTGCACCCTGAATGTACCATCTAATATCTTTAATGTGCAGTTTCACCATATCTTAATATGAAAGAAGAGCAGCCAATTCTAATTAAAGCATAATTTAGATAAAATGCTAAATGGCACTCCACAGGTCTTTGTAGAATGTTATTTGTCATAAAAGATTTGCAAATTGGGACACGTTCTCTGAGCGGATGTAACTTTATTGCTTCTATTAATAAGCAAGATAATGCAGAACGTCTCTGGTGCTTTATGATATGTTATGAAAGGCTGCCTGGAAAACAAGTGCCTCAAAAGTGCTGGAGTTAATTGCTTTACCTAAGTAAACCCTTTATTAAGATAGCCATACATGTTCAGATTTCATATTGTTTGATTTCCCCAATAAAAGCTGAACAGTATAGATGCAGAAGTCTTGGCCCTTCTGGCTGTTGTGTTCTGACAGTCATGTACCTACAGTTGTCTGAATACCTGAACAGTAACTGCATCTGATTGAACTAATTGGTCAATAATTTTCCTCCAAGCTCATTCAACTTTCTATTTCATTCATTTAAGAACACAGTTGCATCCATAGAATGAGGCCTTAGGGTATTACATAACCTGCAGTAGTAGGACCCTACTGCAACACGTTCAGTTTTTTGCCTAGAGCGTAAGAGTTAGGACCTAGAAAATTGTTCTCTGGTGCTTTGTGCAGATCCTCCATATTCATTTACTACCATACCTGAAAGGCATATTTCACCTGGTGCAAATTTCTGGGCTTTCATCCTCACAGGTTTTCAGTAACGTGTTCTAGCCTTCCTTCAACATGGCATAGACTGGTGGATGGCCCTGAATACCATGAAGGACCAAGTTCCTGCCTTATCCATCCTCTTTCAACACCCTTCTCTTTAGTCCAGGTCTTCATTCAAGAAGTTACTTGGGTGGTCTTCCCCTTCTAGGCCAACCTTGATGCCATGGGATCTGAATTCTGTTCTTTCTGTCCCACAAAAAACTCCTTTTGAGGAGAATCATGATCTTTGATAATCTATATTCTCACAGAAGATAACATTTTTGGTGGCCATCACCTTGGGACACGGTGTCTGAGGTGGCTGCTCTTTTTTGTAAGCAGCCATTTTTGATACTTTATCAAGATAAGGCAGTTCTCTGTCCTCAGTTATCCTTGCTAAAAGTGGCATCAGTGTTTTATTTAAATGAGGACAGTGTTCTGCCTTCTTTATGCCCTAGTCCTGCTCAACCTAAAGAAATGCCTCTTCATAGTTTGAATATGGTTTGGGCTGTCAAAGTTTACCTAAACGCTACTGTCTCTACCTGGAAGGTGGATCCCTTATTCCTTAGCTCTGATGGTCCATTGTACCAGGACTTTGAGTGCATCCTGGGCTTTTTGGCATTCTCTCTCTGTTTCCCATGTTTTTGAAGACAGCTACTTAGTCGTCGGTTCATACTTTAACTTCTATAAGGCAGACATTTCCCTATCTGTTGATGCAAGTTTTGGACATAAGGTTTTACAGACAGCTGTTTGAGTTCTGCAGGGGATTGGTTCCTATTTGTTGGTTAATCTTCTCCAAATCCTGATATCTGGCACTGCTTTGCGATGTCCCTAAGGTCTCATTTTAATGATCCAGCTGTGTCCTTTAAGAAACGAAAGAGAAAAATGGGATTTTTTGTATTCGCTGTAAAAATTATTTTCATTAAAGGGCACAGCATCCATCCTATTACCTGAGGTTTTGTTTCGGTGTTATACTGTACATCTCTATACTGCTGGCTTTTAACTAAACGTGTTGCAGATGGAGGGTTTGGCCACCTGCGGGAGCCATCCCTGGGCTGTGTTCAACTCTTTTGGTTGTACCTAGTGTCCCACTCCTACAGGTGGCTTTATACCCCAAGGTTTTGTTCGAATTATCTGTTGCTGCTGTGTGCTTCAATGAACTCAGGAAAAAAGATTTTACAGTGAGTACAAAAATCCCATTTTTCATTTGCCTTTTGTGGAGCTGGATGGTGCCAACAGGGCCACCCACAGCTCAAATCCCAGCCAATTCACCTTTAGCCTGTGTGGATATGGGAGCTGGATAAAAAAAAAAAAACAGCCCTGCATTAGTGTCAAATTCAGGCAGGGAGCAATACCAATAGATTTGCACTGCAGCATCAATCTCAGAGGTTACCGTTTGCTTTAATCTGAGATATGCCTCATCACTCTTGTAATGAAAAAAACCCTTTGTGCATTGCTGATAAAATAGTTTGCCTACCAATCTGAATGGATTCCCTTTTTTAGAGATTAGTTTTGGGTAGAATAGCTCTTTAGACAGACAGGTGTTAATATATACTATAAAAAATCTTTAAAGCAGAGCTAAACTCTCCTCTTCTTTTACAGCCAAGGAAGCTGCCCTATTAGCCTCTGCTTTCATCTGCAGTTGTCATAGTGCTGCACATGTGATCAGTTATGACACCAGCCATCAGATGGCTTGACAGCTTGGCTGAGTGCACAAGCATCTGTGCCCATTACCATTCGATTTTTGAAAATCGATGGTTTTAGTTCCAATTTAAACACAAAATCTGGTTAAACAATTATTGTCTAAATGCAAGAGCCATGTTTATTATTACATTGAGTCTTCTTCTCCATGTGTATGTTTTCCAGATCTGTGCAGTAGTCAAGCATAAAACAGCTCCTCAACTTTGTGCATGGGTTTTCTTTCATTTAGACTGGTCACTGCTACTTTCCATCCTTGGTCCTTCCATCCCATGTCATTTTCTGCAGGCATACTGTCATTCCACACACTTCCACAAAAAGCTCTGCTCTTTGCACAGTACACTGATGATGTTGCTGCCCAGTTTTACAAGATACCTGGATTTTTGTTGCTCTGTCATACTGATGTTCTGGCAGTATGCAGATTCCTTAGCTTAGGAACAACCTCAAACAGTGCAATATGGGGGCCTCCTAATAGTTTGTTGAGACCTTGCCATGTGTTTGAGTTGCAACTCAGTGTCCACTTTTCCTAAAGTAAGTATATTAATAATACAGGCACCTGGTATTTAGGGGATTCTGGCTCCCACTCAGCAGTTAATTCCGAAGAAGGCAGTGCCTGTGGGCCCTTGGCCCTAATCTAGCGGTCT